AGGCTCCTCCGACGCTCCTCAAAGTACTGCAGCCTCTCGAAGATCTTGGAGCTGGAGCGCACCAGCTTGGGGGATGCCCGGACGGAGATGCGGCCAGAGGTGTCACTCATGGGTGTCTGGGGACGGGACTCTTGTGTGCTGCCCTGTGAGTACCCCGAGGACTTGGGCTTCTTGATCTTCTCCTCATAATCCTCGGGGACAGTGTCCTGGTACTCAGCTGGCACTGAGGTCTTCTTGCGGGGGGTCACAGGCGTGAAGGAGGGGACGCCAGGGCCACGGGTGGCAGGCTGCGACGTGGCACCAGCAGGTGATGGCAGGCACGGGCCGGCACGAGGAGATGGTGAGCGAACAATGGGTGGTTTGGCAGTCAGCGGCAGGGCAGCAGGGGACCTCGGGGGCTCAGTGCCAGGTTTTGGAGAGACAGGTCCGCTGTGGGGGTCATCTCTCCGGTAGCCCCCCTGGGGGATGCTGCTGCAAGGGGAGACAGAGGAGCACAGTTCAGAGCCCACCCTCACGCCTGGCTGCATCCCTGCTCCCAGCCCCACACCACAGTGCCCAATGGGGCATGGCAATGGGGGCAGGTGGCCAGGGCAGCCCTGGGACTGGGGAGCCTGAAGGGGCCCTGGTGAGTGAATCCGGCCACCCATGGACCACTGGGAGCTGGCTGGGTTGGATGAGAGTCCCAGGCTCCTGTGACACAGTGGTGTCCCCTTGCCCAGGGCTACTCATGTGAGACAGTGGAGTGATGCTGGGATACCCAGCGAGTCCCCTCCCCAGAGCCACCATGCAGACAGGACTGGGGTCTGTGGGGTGCCTCGGTTTGCCGGGGTGTCCTGGTGTGCTGGGGCAGCATGGCACAGGTCAGTTCTTCTGCAAGGCAGAGAGGGTCCCTGAGGCTACAAGCCCTCCCTGCACACATGCTGCTGCAGGTTCTACCCCCCACCCCAGTGCCCCTGGCGGGGCTCGGCGATTGCGGTGCAGAAATCATAAGGTGGAGATGAGGTTCTGGTGGAACAAGCAGCCTCAAACAAAAAAAGGGGCAAGATGAAGGTCGAAGGAGCAGGCCTGCGGGGATGGGGACCAAAGGCAGTGGGGAGGGACAGGGACTCTGAGCACATCAACCAGTCCTGGGAAGGCAGCATGTCCCTGGCCCCTGATGCCACCCCTGTGTGGTGGAGACTGTGGGTGGCAGAGCCTTGCCAGTGGGTGCCCCAGACTGCCACACACCCCCAGGTCCCCACGCCCTGGGCTGCGCAGAGGCTCTGCAGCCGGGCAGGATGGGGGGACACCCACAGCACAGCCAGCAGGTGGGATGCTGCAGCTCGTGCAGCAGCACAGGGGTTACCCCCAGCCCCAACCTGGCCACAGCAGAAAGGCCACTCCACATCCCCCACTTCACGCAAGGGCCTGTGCCCTCCTGGCCCGGGTTGCTCCCACCTCATCACCAGGAACAGGCTGCCTACTGCTCAGAGCCCCCGATCCTCATCTGGGCATGGTGAAGGCAAAGAAGGGCAGAGGGGAGGAGATGGCTGTGGGGGTTGGAAGGAGATGGCCCCAGCGCGATGTCCCCTCCACACGCTTCCCCTGGCTACTTACACGTGGAGCGAGAGCGCCCGTCCTCGGTACAGGCTGAAGGCGCTGCCGTACGGGTCGCTGGCCACTGAAAGGCTATCCTCCGACCCCCAGCTTGTGCCCACCAGATTAGCCCGTGATGCCCGCACCAGCGGCTCCACGCCCAGGTGCCGGACCTCGGCGCTGCGCGGGGCCGGCGCGTTTGCTTGCCTTGGGGTTCCCTGCGGCTGCTGCCAGGCAGCAGGGCGGAGGTAGGGTCCCCGTGCAGGGAGGCTGGCATCCGTCTCCTTCTCCACCACGGTCTGCTGGCTGCCCGACCAGCTGGAGCGCTCCTCCGCCTGCGACAGGGCCAGCACCGAGGTCGGTGTCGTGTTCATGGAGACATCCACAAGGGTGTCGGACCCACCTGGAAGCAGAGGGGTGAGCCGACACCAGGTGCTCATGGGGATGAACCCAACACCCTGCTCAGAGAGGGCTGAGTCCCAGGGTGTCCAGGGGTGTCCCAGGGTGTCCCAAGCAGCACCCTGCTGCCCCAAGCCCTCCCCCCTTTGTATGGGTGGATCACAGCTCCCTCCTGCCATGGCAAACACCCCCAAAGCAGAGCCCTTTTCAGGGCCATGCCCAGCAGCCAGTGCCAGGGCTTGGTGCCAGCGAGATGTCCCCCTGCTCACCCGTGGGGGTGCTGAAGGCCGTCTCATCCTGGAGCTCGCTGCGCTGCGTCACCTGGGGGTCACTGGGCTCATCCTCGCCTGTCTCCGAGTCTGGGGGAGGAGAGAGCAGGGAGTGAGGGGACACAGGGACAACAGGCCAGGCTGGTGCTTCCCTTTGCAGACCCACCGGCTCCAGGGACAGGAGAGCAGTGCCTGGGCAGCTCCTAGAGGAGGCAGTGCCAGGGCAGGGGTCATGACTGTGACCTGCAGGGACAAGCGGCCAGAAGGGAAAGGCAGGACTGGTAGTGGGAAAGTCCACCAGGACAAGGGCAGGCAGGGGAGGGCAGGCAAAGTGGTCAGGAGCAGCGTTAGATGATGGAAGGAAGGGAGACAGTGCCAGCGGTAGGAATGCAGCTGGTGGGAGCAACGTGGGGACAGGGAGGCAGGGCAGGGGGACAGCAGCAGCGATGGGGCAGGGAGGCAGGCTGGGGTACAGGGCCCACTCTGGGGGCAGAGCTGGCATCAGGCAGGGGTCTTCCTACCGTAGCTTTGTTTCCTGCAGGAGCGGAAAACTTCGCTTCCATAGGGGCAGCAAGAGAGAGAGAGACATCAACACCCGGTTATCGGCCCGGCCTGCGGAGACGCGGGGGCCAGCAGGCAGGGACCTTGTCCCCAGCATCTCCCCGTGCTGCCATAGGGCAGGGACCTGCTGGGGCAGCACTGCAGTGGGCCATGCCAGCTCAGAGAGCCTGGCACCCTGTGCTGGGCTTCAGGTCCAGGAATGGGCCAGGACTGGGCATTTGCCCATCTCAGGAGCTCACAACAAGCACCCCATGCCCTACCCCACCCCATGTCAGAGGCGAGGTGCCCACAGGGTGTGGGAACAGGTCTGGCACCCCCAGACTTCCCCACCACATCTCCACTCTGCACCCATGTTCACTGCACATCTCCCGTGCTGCACACAGACCGTCCCACCTGTGCAGTGCACGGCACCATCCCCTCCCTGTGCTAACGGCCACAGCCTGCCCAGCAGGACAGCCACCTCCTGTCCCCAGAGCTGTTGCAGCTGCCCCACAGGCTGGCCTCACTGCTGCAGCACCTGCACATCCTTCTGCTCTGTGGGGTACCACCGAGGACCCCACCCCATGCCCCAGCACCCCCAGCAGCACCCAGCTGCAAGCACCCTCCCTCTGGCACATACACGTGCATCCCCTACCCCACTGGTGGCAAGTGCTGCATGATTCAGCCATGCCCCACATCACAGCCCCGGTTGATAAATCAGAGGTGCTGAGGGCAGGGCGCCAGTGAGAGCCTCCCCACGGGCAGGATGTGACCAGTCCAGATCAGCATCACCCTAACGTCCCATACCAGGAAAGCCATCGCCGTGCAGCCAGGGAGGGTCAGACTTTCCTCCCTGCTGCTGTGCAAACTCGCGCAAACTGCCACAACAGACCCCTGCTGCAAGGGCTGTGTCCTCCGCCCCACCACCACACCCTCCACCACACTGCCATGGCGTGGTGGGGGGCCAAGCTGCTCCCTCTCACCCCAAACCACCCCTCTGCAGCCAGCTGCCCCATGCACTGCCACTGCACCACGCTCCCCAGCGCAGCCATGACAGCCTGTCAGCCCCTGAGGAACTGGAGCTGCAGGGACAGGAGCAGCCCAGCCTCACGGGGGACACTGGGAGCCCCCAGCTGACCGGGACCCTGTTTTAGGGCTGGCAAGATGCAGCCCAGCCCTGCCCAGCCTCTGCTCGCTGCCCCCGCAGCACAGTGGTGGGGATGGACCCCATCCCGGTGCAGTCAGGGCAGCAAGGGAAGCCAGGTCCTGGTAACTCAACGCACCATGCGTGAAGCGCCCGAAGCGCCGTGAGTGGCCGGTCTTCTGCAAAGGAAAAGAGAAGAGAGCGTTACCCATGGCACGGTGCCATGTGCCTGCTCACACACGCACGCACACACCCCATCATGGCACATGCAGCCCTGCTCACACCCACAGTCACTCACACACACACTGGCACAACATGCGTGGTGCCACTCATACCCTCCCTCCCGCTGGCAGGGCACACCCAGCACTGCTCGCTCTCTCTCTCTCTCACACACACACACACACACACACACATATACATGCACACACACATCCCTGGCTGCACACCCACGGGGTACCCACAGGCACACACCCACAGGGTACCCACAGGCACACACCCCCAGGCACACACCCCCATGCATGCAGACACGGATGGGTGTAGGTGGACACGTGTAGCACATGCCCAGCTATGCACGCACACACACACACCTGTGCACGCACGCACACACACACACACACACACTCTCCCCTTGGTAATGGCACTGCACACCCCAGCCCTGCGCCACTGCCCGTGCAGGGGGGTGACACTGTGCACCCCAGCCCTGTGCCACAGCCCATGCCCGGGGAGCAATGGCCCTGGGCAGCACAGCTGCCCCAGCACCGCTGCCTGCAGTCAGCACTGCCTGGAGCAAGGTCTTTGCCCAGGTGGTTGCCCAAATGCTCTGCAGACCCTTTGAAGCCACTGCCCCCATGCCAACATGGGGACTGGGCCAGCAAAGCATCTTCCAGGTGCTGGCCCAGACACCGCCACGGGCACTGGCCCAGCGTGGGGACAGCATCCCCCACAGTGAGACTGTGCCAGCTGCAAGAGAGGCTGCCTGGCACAAGCGTCATGGGACTGGCCCATCTGTGTGGGGCTGGAGGCATGGGGGCTGCACTCGCCTGCGCTGTCTGGGCAGGCAGGCAGGACTTAAGCATGGGGCAGAGCTGCCAGGAGCTCCCTGCCAGCTTGGCTGCCCTCTGCGCCACAGCCCAGAGCCGGGCACCTGCTTGCCAAGGGAGGGACCAGATGAGGGTGACCTGGCTGCCAGGCCCGGCATGTACCAATGCCATTTCCCAGGAAAAGAGGGATGGGGTGATGTCCAGGGCAGGCAGGAGTGGGGATGTGGCATGCAGACAGACAGGGTTGGGGCTGCCAGGGCTGAGCATCCTTTCCAGACAGTCTGGGTGCTGAGTGTCTCCCCAGGACATTGGCGCCCCATGTCCTGTCTCCTCAGTGTGGAGCCTAGGTCCATGCATCCCGCTTTCTTGAAGCCCTTTGCTCTGCCAGCCCCTCCTGCCACCCCACAAGCTCCCAAACAGGGTCACAGCCAGCCAGCCCCGGGGAGACCCAGCCAAGCATGGCCAGCAGTTAGTTGCCTTTGGAAGGGCAGGAGGCTCATTTTTCATGTCCCAAAGCTGCTGCCACTGCAGCGGCAGCCTCTGCTCGTAGGCAGCACTTGGGGGCTCCCACCAGCCCCCTGCCTGCATGCGATGCTGGCTGGAGGGCAGCAACTGCACGAGACACATTTGTATTCAGGCTGAGCCAGGCTTCACCTCCCCTCCTCGGCTGACTATGCTGGTTCTGGCTGGCAGCCCGTCTTCCAGGCCAGCAAAAGATAGATGAGTGATTAACTGCACCATCGGCGGATAATTCCCCCATTAAAAAATGAAAATGCAATTGAGTGCCATTATCGGGTGCTCCTGCGGCTTCCCCAGGGACTGGCGCCATCAGCTCCCCATCAAATACGATGACTGCACCCAGCGGGCCTGGGATGGGCTCCATCACCCAGAGCTACGGGGTGGCTGAGCCCCCTCCCCTCTGCCTGCAACAGGCAGGGCACCCTGCAGCCTGGACCCCCTTGGGCACAGCACCCACCTGCAGCTTGCCAGGGAGCAAGCACTGGGTGATGCAGGGTCACCCCCAAATCAGGAGGTGTAAAGGGGGCAGGAGCAGCTCAGGGCTTGCTGTGGGGTTGGGGTCTGGGCAAAGGGGCCAGCTGAATAATCGGCGGTGTGCTCCCTGACTGGATTTCATTTGCAGCCTGGGAAAAGGGGTGGGGGAGCCCCAGGAGCCCACTCTGTGCCCACCCAGACTGGGGTGGGAGAAGGGCTGGCTGGGATCAGCATCCAGCTTCAGCCCTGCCCCATAGGGCACCTGGGTGAGGCCTGCCGCTGCCTCCTTCCCCTGTGCCAGGCACAGATTCACCCTGCCCAGTCTGGGATCCCACCCTGGCCTGGCACAAGGCATACCTAACCATGGCCATGGGGCCAAGGGGAGTCAGGAGGAAGAAGGGGACCCTGGGACCCTGGAGCAAGACCTTGAAGCCTGCTACCACCTGGCATGTGGAGCCACATGGCACTGGTGCCACTGCTGTGAGACAGGCAGACAAGGGTGCAGGGATGGAGTGAGGTGAGGAGGCGGTGGGTGGCTTGCCCAGTTCAGAGGGACGGACACTGTGGGTGTCCTGATACACCCCGTGCTCAGCCAGCAGTGCAGGACCCTGCCCCACAATGCAGGCAAGCCCCTGGGCCTGCTGTCCCCAAGGGCAGCTGGGACAGCCAGGCAGTGCCATCCACCCGGCCCCGGGGGGACCCCCCACCACGCCTGGCTCCTGGTATCCCTGGTGACCTGTGTCTCCCAGGGCATCCTGCACCCCTGGCAAGGGGCTGCGGGTGACAGCCCCTCCCCAGCCCCTGCTGGTCCACCAGGCAGGGTGACAGCGGGCAGGCTACGTGCCTGCGCTGGGTGGAGCAGCGGGGTCGACTTGTGCACCCCAGGGGAGGCGAGGGTGGGGGGCTTCCTGGAAAGATGCCCCCCATCCTCCACCCCCCGCCGAGGCCAAGTGACGTCCTTGTTCCTCGCTCGGCGGCGGAGCGTGCGGCGGGGCCCGTGGAGGAGCCTTTGCCTGTGCCAGGCATGCTCCTGACGCGGAGGGGATGACGCATGCAAAGCCTCGTCTCCAGCTCCGTGACCACCGGCAGCGGGGCTGGGGGGAGCCATGAAGCAGACTCCATTTGCTGCCCCAGCTCCGGAGGGCAGAGAGGGGAGAGGGTGGCGTGGGGGGAAGCCCTCAGCAGGGGTCCCAGCCTGGCTGCTGGCACAAGCGGTGCTGAGCACCTGCCCTCTGCCCCTCCTGCCCGGGCTGGCGAGGACAGGCAGGCAGCTGGTGGTTCTGCAAGAGGGGCTGGAGCCGGTGATGGGCAAAGCCCTGGGGAGCCCCGGGCGGCAGCGGCAGGGCCAGAGGGCCCCCCCCATCCCCATCCCCATCCCTATCCCCATCACCATCCTCATCCTAAACTTCATCCTCATCCTCATCCCGATGCGCTCCTGCTCCCGGCACTGCCCCCTCCTCCCGGCACCCTCCGGCGCGGCAGCCCGGAGCCCTTACCTGGAAACGCTTCTTCACCCAGATCTTCTTCATGCTTCTGCAGAGCCCTGCTGGCCCTGTCACACCGGCTCAGGCCCGGCAGGACGCCAGCCCGCTTCGGCGGGGTCCCCGCTGTCAGCACGCCGCGGGGGCCAGCGATGCTCCGAGCATCCTCCACCGGCGGCAGCCGGGAACGGCGGAGGGAGAGGAAGGGGCTCGCCAGGTTGGGCTCCCGGGAGGGCTGGAGCTGTGAGCATGAAGCATCACTGGAGTGCTCCTCCCTCCATCCTTCCCCCGCCTGCCTCCGCCTCCGCCTCCCCGACAGCCCTGGCACACAGTGACAGCGGCGGGGGACAGGAGAGGCAAGATG